GAATTCTTCTTTAGGGACATACCAAGCAGTAGTATATAATGAATAGATAATTTCAATAAATTTTCATAACACTTAAACCAGGACATAATTCAAATTCTCCTCAACAGTGGAAAGTATAACCGAATTGTGGCAAATTTATATAATGAGTGCAGTTATCATAGAAAGTCAACAGACATGCTACATGTAACCATATTAGTAGCTCTCCATCTAGCATTGGTCCTTGTTTTTAGTGATAAGATAAATTAAAACCAAAGCATGCATTTACAGGAAAAAGGCTTCATTAGGAATTAAAGAAAATATGAAGGGATTTTAGCTTGCAGATCTGGCAGAGATAAATCCAACTCTCAACAAAGTAAGAAAAACATAGGAAAGGGGTCCAGCTTGAGGAACTAGGGGGTAGACTTTCATGAGGGTGATCATACTGGTTCACTCACAAACGCAGGAGTCCAGCTTTGAGGGATGAGTGAGGCGGCCCAGGGTTCAGCCGATGATTCTCTCAGTCCTGGTTTTGTATCTCTGCATTCTTCATGACTTCAGTTCTGTTCCCATGAAATGTTTGTCTTTGTTGATGGTGGCTCAGTCACACAGACCTCCTCTGGTCCTGGGATCCAAGTGATCACAGGGTTAGCTTAGGTTTGAGACAGTGGCTGTAGATTCCTGGGCTGGTCAAACATTCTTATCAGTCCTTTTCTTGGTCACCAGAGTTTTGAAGGGAGATGACCCTAAACTTTTAGGTAACAAAAGATACAAAATGAAGGTCAGGCTTTATTCTGTTTTTAGTTATCTTTTGAATATCCACAGCACCAAGTATAGAGTCACCATTTTTAGCAAAAACTAATTTTATGTCCTTGTATGATTCAAAAGAAAATATAGATTGTGCTTTGAGTGAGTAACATTAAAGGGCCTAGGAGTTTGTTTGTCCTTTGTACCATCATCAAAATCAGAGCCTAAATGAAAAGATTTAACACCAAAATAGTTCAAATTTTAATGTATGTTTATTAGTCAGTTTTCCAACATCGTGACAAAATACCTGAGAGCAATCAAGTTGAAGGAGGAAAGATTTATACTGGTTTTGTTTTCATAGATTTTAGACCATAGTTGCTTGGTTCCATTCTCTTTGGGTTTGTGGCAATATATCACAGTGGCAGTGTGTGGAAGACTCCTGAGGAGTACCCCACTTCTTAAAAGTTCCACAGATTCCCAGGGTACCATCTGCTGGACCTAAGCCTGTAGCACATGCACCTCTTGGAGGCATTACAGATCCAGACTCTAATGGTTTCTTTTCTTTTAAACAAAGGTCAAAAAAGAGGCAAACACAATTCTTGGTGTCAGAAGGAAAAACAATGATTATCTTCAATATAAGGAGACAGAACAGAAAATGACAGGGGCACGTAGTTAAAGGATATTCCTGAGACACTTTGAAGTGTTTTAGTTCTGGACTTCCTTGAGGGTTACATGGACATGTTCTTTTTGTGACAATTCATGAACCAGTGTACTTAGTTTTAGTGTACTTTATCATAAACTTGGTATATTAAAAAATGTTGACTTATTTTTTTTAATTTTTATTTTGAAGAGAATAAAGCCAAATGAGAAAAAGTGGGGTCAGTCAAAACAAAAGGATGGACATAGTACTTAAACCCAAAATACAAGGTGATCAACAATAGTTACCATAATGTCTCTTGTTACATTCAATAGGATTTCCCCTATCATCGGGCACAATAAAATTGAACATAGCAGTGCAGAACAGAAGCAATAAAAACAAAACATTGGAGACATTACAGGACTTCAAGAGAAGGTAATAGTCAAACCAGAATGGGTATCATAGTGAGTCTTATTGTCTTCAGAGTAGTTGCCTATGCTCTCAGACTTGGTATTATCAAACATAACAGATTCAAATAAAATCAGCCAAAACAAGACAGTGAAAGTAATACAGGGCATCAGATTAAGTTAACAGGAAATTAAAAATGGTTACTGTAGTGTATCCTGCTATCTTTGGGATAGCTGTCCATGCCATCAAATCTAGTACAAGTAAACAAACTGGAACAGAATGAAACCTAAATAAACAGCAATTAAAACAATATGGGTTTCACATCATGATACAAGTTTAACAATGTCCTCTGCCTTTCCTTTTTGGACAATTCCTCCCCTTTCACTTTCACAGGATGCGTTGTACATTTTGTATACCACTAACTCCTCTAGTTTTAGATTAAGGAGGAAACTTGCTCTTTACATAAGTGGTTCTAAACCTTTTTACCCCTGAGATTGATCTCACGTTGTATTCATTTATGTATAAGAGTCTCAAAATTTTCCTTACTTATAGCTGAGTAGTTCTCCATTGTATAAAAGTGTTATATCTTTCCAACCAATCTGCAGCTGATGGGCAAGCTACCCCCACTTTTTTTTGATTCCCTGTCACATAGAGCATTATTTTCTCATCTTTGACTTTCAGTCCATAAACCTTCTATCAGGTTAATTATATTTCTTATATTGAGCATCTTGATGTACCCTATCTCCTGATCCACTCTGCCTGTGTTTCTTTTTATTAGTGTATGGAGGCCATCCATGTTATGGCCAACCTTCTCTGCCTCATCTCTGCCATGCTACTTTTCTGCTGTTGTTTGTCTACTTTTCCTCTTCATTCCACAGTCTGCCCCATTCAGTGAGACCCCTCTGCCACTGTTCCTGAAGCCATGGTCTTTTTTTCTAAAATGTCCTTCAGTATTTTCGTAGGGTTAAATTAGTGGTCATGAACTCCCCCCAGTTCCTCTTTTACATGGAAGCATCTTGTTTCTTCATTAATTTTGAGAGATAGTATTTTTTTATGTCAATCTGGGTTGGAAGTTATTTTCTTTCAGGGCTTGGAATACTTCACTCTAAGCTCTTCTTGATTTGATGGTTTGTGTTGAGAAGTCTATCATAATTCTGATGGGTTTTCCTTTATAGGTGATCTGTTTCTTTTCTCCAACAGCTTTTACTATCCTGTACTTGTGCTGAATTTCTGTGATCTTGGTTATTATATGTCTGGGTGTAGATTATTTTGAATAATTATAGCTGGCTGGAGTTCTGTATGCCTCATATATCTGAATATCATTTCCTTTTCCTAGGTTTGGGAAGTTTTCTTTAATTATTTCTGTAAATAGCCTTTGTATTTCATTTGTGTTTACCCTGCTTCTTCACTCAGATTTTTTATTCTTAAGTTATAGATCCTCTTGTCATCATCTAGCCTTTGTATTGTTACTTCCTGTTTCCTTGTTATTTTTAGGAGATCTTTCCTTGCATGATCACAAGTTGCAAACCTGTCTTCAAGGTTTGATAGTCTATCTTTAGTTTCTTTCAAGCAGTTTTGCCAGCTTTCAATGGAGTTTTTAATTTCCTGGTAATCTCTTTGAATCTCTTTCATGTATTCTAGATTTTTTTATATTCTTCATCAAAGTTTTCCCTCCTTTTTCTATGCTCCTCCATTCTTCCATCTGTGTCTTCTTGAGAACTGCTTAGCATTTCTTTTATTATTTTGCTTATATCTTCCTATCCTTGTATTAGTATTTCTGTTTTAAGTTCTTTTATAATGTCACAAAGATAATTCTTTATGTCAGATGCTGCTTCTTCAGAAACTGCAGGTGTGCAACCCTGGATCTCTTCTCTGTTTACTTCTGCTGGCACAGTACTGCTTGGGTTGGAGACTGGAGATTTCCTTTTGTTTCTTCGTCTTGTCATGTTTCTAGTTTCTTCCAGAGAAGTGGATAGTGGGGGTCCCTGGCACTTCCTATATTGGTTATATTTTCTCTGAAGTGTGGTGGCTAGGGATTGCTGCCCTCTCTAGTCTGCTGGTGACCATTGGAGTACAAGCATGGGTGGGGCAAGCTGCCCCCCCCATTCTGAGCTGGCAAACCACTGGGAGCCTTCACCATAATAGTGTGTGTCATGCATAGGGGCTGGTTAGAGATAGCTTCAGGGAGACCTTGTCCTTTGCTATTGGATCACGCACAGAGTCAATCAAAGCAATTCTCCCAATCTGCTCTGCACTAGAAGTGGCTCAATGAAGCCTGCTGCTGTTCTGGTTCCAGGCTTACCCTGCCCAGCTCCAAAATGTTGCCCGGAAAATTGCTCAGTCTCACAGGAGCACTGAGTTCCCTGCACTCACCACAAGCTGGTGCAGTTCTCCTGTCTGCCACTCCCTTTTGTGACCACATCCTCCCACCAAGGCCCTCGGGTTTGCCAACCCCCAACTTCACTGTGACTGTGTGTCTTCGGATTCTAGTGGCGTTTCGCACACAATAGGACCGGCCTCAGTGAGAACATGTCTGGTTACAGCTGTTTTTCTTTCTTTTCTTTCTTTCTTTTTTTTTTTTTCACTTTAGTTTTTTCCTGGGTCAAGAGGATCTACCTCTTTCCGTCTGGTCTTCTCCAGGATACTGTATTCCAGCATTTGAGCTTTTTCTCTCAGAGAGGCTTTTTACTTTGCTACTTATTGATCTACCATTTTCCCAGCTCCCTAAGCAAGGACTTTCTTTCCAAAAGATGGTACTCAGCAGTAGTATTCACTGCATCTTTTGTCATGCATCTTAAGGATACTCATGAAACAAGACCTCCAGAACTGCACCTAATTCCAGATATCTTATAACTTATGAACCACTAGACATAAAATCATTGAGTGTACAGGCCAAGACAGAACACTTTCTTCCACTGTGTTTGTCCCCAGAATGTCTCTCAAAGTTTACTTATAATGTTGAAGACAAAACATTAAATTCCATGATGCTGGAATATCATCTTGTTCCAGAGGTTATAGCTTCATACCCTGCAAGTAATCTTAATCTTTGCATCAAAAGCATTCATATGGTCTTAAAATATTTTAAAAAACTATTCTAGCAGACTCTTATGTCTAGTGAAAAGAAAGTTGCTCATTTAGCAAATTTGACTCACATTCCAAGGAATTATGTAATATCCTGTCTGATAGAGGAAATGTTCTCTGTTTCAATAATAAATGACCTTTCCATGTCCTACACAGTATTAGAAAAACATCCGTCTGTAAAATTCTTTTTAGGTTTTCAGTTTCTTTTTAGTTATTGATGTTTCCTCCAGTCAGAGAAAAGAGCGAAATTCCTGTCCTGGTAGTCCATGAGCTCAGCTCATAACTCTCATAACTGCCAGCTTAACCTTTCTGTTAATATTTCTGCTTTCAGGTGCTCTTCATTGACCTTACAGTATTAATAGATTTTTTTTTTTTTTGGTACCAGGGATCAAAAACTTGCACTTGCCAGGCAGGTACTTATGCTGCTGAGCTAAATCCCCAGCCCTATTAATAGATTTTGACTAGGCTTTGTCCTTAAGATAATATTTGTTTTCTGTACACAAAGAAGAAAGAAAGAAAGAAAGAAAGAAAGAAAGAAAGAAAGAATCATATGAAGTTTAATTATACTGCAATTTGATGCAAACATGTCTGATGCTTGATGATCAGGCTATCAAAGAGGTAAGTTTATTAATTTATCTAAATGAAAAGAATTTCTTTAGGCAGCCACACAACGAAGTACATTCTTAAATTAATGTGTAGCAATTTGAATTCTAATTCAAATGGTGAATTCTGGTAAGAATATTTTTTCACTATTTTTTAGAACAAAGTGATGAAAACTTTATTGTTATTATTATTATTGTTATTATTTTGTTCTGCTTTAGGTGTATAATACCTGTCAAGTCTATCTTGAAAATAGAAAAAAGAAAAATAGCTATGGACATTGAATGTACTGAATTATCAAGATTTTTTTCCCTCTGAAAGAAAAATCAGTTAATAGAAGTGTTCTACCAGATATCACTGGTGTAACTGTATTTTGAAACTAAAATAAGAAAGGATTTAAAACTATTCTTTATAATAATGGTATGTGAAAGTCTGACCATTTGACATTTCTCAGACTAACACAGTTTTAAGCATCAGAATATAGATAGCTGTTATTACTAATTTAGAATTACTAAAGCCTGTTGGACTAAAAATTGTATGTCAATTGAGTGTTTTCCCATGTGCAATTCTGTAAGGATATAATTGAGTCTTTGTTTGATCTCCTCCAGGCAATGGGTCCCAAGCATTTATAGTATATACGTATGTTTATTATATACTGTGTAGACCTTTTTGTACTAGTCCCTCCCCCTTTTGCAATGCTGAAGCCATTTATCAAATGTCTATTGCCCCCTTCTCTTTCAAAATTAAAAATAAATCTAGGTTAACCTGCTAAGATAGAGAATGAGGCAGCAGTTGAGTAATGGAAAAAAAGAATAAACTTGGGATCCAGAAGGCTGGCTTCCTGACCTGGCATTACCCTTTGGCATTTGGAGAGCACATTAACCTTTCTGAATCTCAGCTTCCTAATTTGTGAAATGTGTATACCAACTCTTGTGCCACTTACCTCCCTGGATGTTATGAAGAAGTAAGATAAATCCAAAGTTGTTACATAGATTCAAAAGGTTAACTACTATTCTTTTACCAGTATATTAGGACTAGATTTCTAAAGGAGGTAGTTACATCTGACTCAATCACTTGACTTACATTGAATTTATTTTCTGCAGAAGTTAGAAACATCTAGAATCTCATCTTGCAAACAGAGAACAGTTAAAACTTTAGAAATGAAGGAAAGTATTTGCCTTATTTGGGAAAAACTGATGTGTGAATCCTTCATTTTAGGTATTTGTACCACTAAAGAGAAAGGGAGGATAAGAGCAGGCAGGGAAAGCATTACTGACAATCCCTGTGTATTTAAACTTATTAGATCAGAGCAAAGGAGGGGCTGCCTGAAAACTGCCCTGGGGAGGGAGCATTCCAGGCCATGTGCAGTTCTTTCTGAGCAGGATCTCTTTCCAGGGCTGTTGCTGGTGGGGAGCAGGCTGCCAGGCTCTCCCCATTCCAGGCTGCAGCAGGATGCCCCACCCTCTATGCTGGCCTCTAACCACTCAGGATTTGAGGTTTCCTAAAGTCAAACGCAGCCTGCTCGCTCCTCAAGTGGTTGATTTGTGTGTCTCCCACCACTGATTCTCTTTACTACGCTTGGAGACACAGGACAGAGAAAAGTTAGGAGAGGGCTCCTGGAGTTTTTGAAGTGGACGAATTCATGTGCTCTAGGTCACGCTGACATTTCAGCATCCTCGGAATTTTCTTGATGTACTTCCAGATCTCTGACTAGCTGCCAGCAGCATTATCAGAGAAGCAGCAATCTATAGTTCCCAGTAAATCAGTCTACCCGACTACCACAGTTCAGAAATTCAGCCTGAATCAGAGAAGGAGCTCCCTGAATCACATCCAGCTCTGTGAGACAGGACAATGTCTAATTACTCTATGCAAAGCTTTCCTAAGTAAATCAGGGAGATTTATATTGCAACATGAAGCATACTGGCCTCCCTCGTCAACTATTTACACATCAGGCATTTACTATTGTACTAGATTTCATTAACTTCTATCTTACATTTCCAGTGCTAATGTCAGGTGATTCTTAAAAGTCCAAAGATCACCTGAGAAAATTGAGTACTGGCAAGAAAAGATATGAGGAAAGGATAAAGAGTAATAGCTTGGAACACCCTGCTGACATGCTGGGTACAACTTTCCTTTGTTCCTTAGAAAAGTATAGGAATATACTTGGTCAACACAGAAATAGTTTAACTGGACTGCAGTGCAGGATCTCTAAGAATGCTTTTGATTCCCCACACTGGTTTTAGCAAGGCCAGTTGTATATTAACATCAATTTCCATTCATCCATTGATGGGAAAACACAAAAAAAACTGTCGGGTCATTCATACTGGTAAACATGTAGTCTTGTCTGGCTACTGAATATTTTAAATCTAGCCATAATTTAATTTCATAATCCTTTTTTTCTTGTTCTAGTTTCAACTTTTCTTGATTATTGCTCCATGTGTCTCTTTTGTGTATTCTTGTGCCCCTGCAAATGGAAATGATTTCTAGGGTGATTTTTTTTTTTTTCTAAAAAGGATTTTGGCTTTCAGAATTTTTTACTTGGATAGGATAATCTGGAAATTACCTCCCTCTACCTCTCAAAGTCAAATATTTTCCAGATTTCAACTCTGACCCTTTCTGTTGGATTTTTATTCTTTCAAATATTAAATAAAATAAAGGTACCTTCCTTCAAGAAATCACCCTCAAATTGTAGAACTAGATTACAGGCTTCTGTAATATGCTAACACTGTTCCCAGTCATGTCGGATGCTTTGTGCATTGAGTAAAATTTATAGAACTGTCTCTTTTTAAAATTAAGTTTATTGGTACTATTTAGATACACATAATGATCACATTCATCTTAGGGAATTTGTACTGGTACATGATATAACTTGATTCTTTTTTTCCCATTTCCTTTCCATCCCTTCAATCCTTCTTATCCTCTTATTTATGAAAGCTTTGTTACAAAAGCTTTGTTATCCTTTTCTTATTTTTTCCCTCTTCCTGTCTTTCTCCGTTCCTAGGTCCCTCTCCCATTTGAAAATTTCTTCAAACTGTTTTACAAGCACAGATATCACACTTGAACACTGATGTCTTTACTTTGTCAAATACCCTTCCAAGCACTTAGCAGTAGCTCAAAACTATCCAATGTGAGTGAAGAATAAACAAAGCATCATCTCTTTGGTGCATAATTCACAGTAAGTTTCAAACCTGAAATCCTGATGAAACATGAAATAAATTCAGGAAGGCAGTGTCCATTAATCGATCAGATATAGAAGTCAAGAAAGCAGAAATGATTCTTGCTTTAGTTTTCACGGCATACCAATCATCCCGATCTTTTCAAGTTTTCAGAACCAGAGGCTGTGTATTGTGTTAATCCCTATGTAGTCTGACTGGTTCACTGTTTCTTATCTATAGGTTGTCAAAGCAGAGTTATAGAAATACTTCTTTCTGTGCTCCTAGAGACTTGTAATAAATAGCCGTGAAAATAAGCATGAAATGTTCCTTTAATGTTCCTTTTACCATTTCAGTTAAAGAATTTTCCAACAACTGTGACTTGTTCAGCTCCCACGGTGCATATTAAGGATTGATTTGATTGCTCAACTATCCTGTGGTAGCCATCAACTGAGTCTACTTGCTTGCCAAATATTATGAAAGGACACCAAAAAAAAAAAAAAAAAAGCCAAGGGCAAGGCTAGTGAAGACAACAAATCCTTAAACATTTTTGAGCTAAGTTATTAGGCACTAAAGAGAGCCTTTCATGGCACCCTTACTTGACTTTAGTGAAAGCAAACTAAAACTGAATTCTCAATCCCTTAATTAAAAAGCTGCTGTTGATCATATAGGTACAAAGTAGTATTATACATTCCTTCTAAAAAGACATACAGGCCCTAATGAGGCCTAATGTTCCAATTCTAGGTAAAAGTAATACTGTGATCTTTACTCTTCTCCAAATAGAGTAGAAGCTTTACAGCCTATTTATGTGCCACTGCCATTTGTTTGGTATACATATTTTGGAAAGTATGCACAGAGCACAGGGCAGACATTCAGCTAAGGTTAACAAGCATCACTGTACTCCACCATAGTCTTCATCCTTCCTCAGTTTTAAAATATGGGGCTTGGACATTGACTTGAAATGTTTGGAAATCTTTTGTTTCCCTCTACCATTTTGCTTGTACTATCAAAACTAACATGTGGCAGAACTCTAAGGACTGATGCCAAACATATGGTATCCACAACCAGCTATCATAAGATTTGGAATGCTAATTGCAAAAAAGAGCCAAATGAAAATGTTTAATAGCACACACATGGCCAGCTGAAGATTTCCTAATAGAGTGGAGCTTTAAGGTTTTTGTCATGCAGAGCAGACTAATTTAAAAGTTGCAAGAAAAAATTATTTTAAAACTTTTATATATTTTGTGAACTATGAAAGAAAATACAATTTCATATCTCTATTAAACTAATGAATTGCCTTTTGAATCCTCTAATATGGCCTGAAATTGCTTCATGTTATTCAATTGGCTCATTCTGGTAGCATAAAACTAACAAAACTATTCGTGCAAAATTTCCTTTAATTAATTGCATAATAATTCCATGAAAACAAGTGCCATGCCAATATAACTCTAAATATTAATCTAAAGAAGTTACATTTATTTCAAGCCTCATTATGGAATCAAAACTTTTCAGCTCAAAGAGTCAGAGTTTAAATGTTTCATCAATACATGAAGAAACGGAGAACAATAGAAGTTATGTGATTTGCCTAGTGCCCACAGCTTGATGGCGGTGGAACCTGTTATTCTTTAATATATTCTAGTGTTCATTTCACTAACTCATTTTGGCATATAAAAGACACTACTGAATGACTTTTGTTGGAGTTTGAATGTGTCTGCCAAAAGTTCGTGTGCTTAATCACTCTACGCATTTGTGGATGATCTTTGGAGGTGGCTGCCTTTGGGTGATGTTTGGAATCAGGTGGGGGTGTCTGAGCTGTATCAGACACTTTGGAAAAAGAGCTGTGCTTCTCCTCATCATGTGATGCCCACGCCATATTACAGTGCAGCAAGTGGGCCCTTGCCAAGTGCCAGGCTGTGTTCTTGGACTTTCCATCATCTGGAACCCCAAAACTAGGAGCTAATAAACCTCTGTTTAAAAAATAATTATCCAGTCTGTGACATGCAGTTATGACCACACAAAAAAGAGCCTAATGCTGCCTCTTACAACCTTTTTGAGATAATTATTTGCTTAGAAACATGGTGGATGCAATTTTGGCTTTTAATCAGCCATATTTTGGAGTCCCGTCTCTCATGCCTACTCTCCTTACAACCTATCTTGCTTCTTCACATGAAACTGGCCCTCCAGGGCCTCTACCATCTCAGCATCAAAAACATCAGTAAAGCCTCCACTAACACTTCTGCTTTACCTTTGCACCAGCTGTCTCCAATAACACTTTCTTTTGTGTGCAAGCCCTCCTGTGTGTGTGTGTGTGTGTGTGTGTGTGTGTGTGTGCGCAGGTGTATTTCACTGGTGATGAAATCGAGCTACAATCTCAGTTTTGTTTTGTTTATTTGGGGTTAGGTGGTAAAGACAGGGTCTTGCTAGATCTCCTAAGGCCTGAACTTACAATCCTCCTGGTCCACCCCCCAGCATGCTGGGATTATAGCCATGTGACACCGTGCCTGGACTTAAATTATTGCTTCTCATCTCATCAGAAAGCTATCAACTAACTGGACTAAAGTTGGCTCAAGCCTACGACCAAGTTTAAAACATAAAACTTGATCATCTACAGGTTATCCACTTTATTTAGTAAATTCATAAAACCTCAACAGCAAATAGTGTATTTAGAAATTTCTAATTATTTTCTCATCTAGATACATATTGCTAAAATACCTACTCTTCTGAAACACTTAGTAATTTTAAAAGTTTTGTTTTTAGGATTTTTTGAGAGAATAGTCTCTGATTTCGTAAACTCCTTGTAACAGTTATTTTTGATGCATAACAAACCATTCCAAAACTCATGTCTCCCACCAATGACCATTTACTGCTCATAATAGAAATTGCAGGGATTTGGTGGGTAGAGCTTTTCTGTGTTCCCTGTGATATAATTGTTCCTGGGGACAGTGGGTACAATGGGATGCCTAGGACTGAAAACTCTTAAGATACCTTCATGTTTGTATCTGGTACATCAGCCAGGAGCACAGGATGCCATTGCGTAGCTGAGGCCAGGCCCTTCTGTTCTGGTACAGTGAGCTCCCAGTCTGCTGTATCTGAAAAGGACCTGGGCTTTTCCTAGGTAGCTATAGGGGACCTGGCCTAGATCTCCAATCTCCCAAACTAGTGTATAGTGAAGGCTTAAATAAATGAGATAAGTGGTATGATTTTAGGGCTCCAGGAGGATCAAAATCATCTACAGAATTCGAGACTCTGGGGGCTAAAATCAGGAATGCCTCTGGGGCAGCCTGTGTTTACTATTTTTTCAAACAATGTAGGTAACTGAACAGACCTTGGGAATGGTTCTAGGACAAGGAGAACTGTCTTAGGAGAAGATCTCCATGTTGCATTTCACTACAGAGGAGAAATGCTTGTGGCTGTGGTCCTTATTTCATTAATTGGAGTTGAAGCCAGGTGTCCTTAGCTGTTACTTTGCCCCAGCCACAGAGCAGCCATGCACGTGTGTTCAATTTCTAGTTTCAGCAGCTCCCAACAGGTGGCCACTCTGTCTCCAAGTGAGTAATTTAGACCTCTTTTCATTATAGCTGAACTTTCAGGTTAGTAAAATCAGGTGCTGACTGACCAATGGCTACTTCCTCTGCCAGTGTTCATCAAAGCAAGCTAGAAGGTCATGCTGATTCAAGAATCCAGTGCAGGCTTTATAGTCTTAAGAAATTCATAACAAATGCCTTTATATTGGGAAGCAATTAATAATGACTATTTTATAGTCACGTGTGAATTGTTGCTTTATATTTACATAAAGTAAAAATGGCAATGTGATTCTATTTTAAACTACCAATTCTCTTTCTATATCATATTGCTAAAACTTGTAACCAAGACAAAAGCTATTAATGATTGTTTTGTTTTGTCTAGCTCTTTTCCTTTTGTAATGTGATGATGTATCACCTTTAACTCTTTTCATATTGGTTTAGACAGATATGTGGAATCCTATGATTGAAGCTAACATTAACTATCTCCATAGGCAAAAGTGCTCAGAATTTAGTCTTTAATGTATAAAATATGTCGTCTCTTTTTTTCAGGGTTCAGTCACCTAAAATTTTATTGCTGTATTAGATTTTTTTTTCTAATTCTTAAAGCATAAGAATATATACATAAACTATCACATTGTCATTCTCCAGTGCAAACCTACTTTACCATTTCAGAAAATTGATAGTAAATTTTAACTAGAAAATGTTTCTTCATGATGATTACCTGTTGCAAAATAATATTAAATTTGACAGTTTCATATATCTCTCTGATTTTAATTTTAAGGGGAAAGTATGAAGAAAGAGGTGTTGATTTGACTCTGGAAGGATACACCATACTTTGTCTTATTATTTACTCCACAATTATTTCCTTCTTTCTTTCATCAGTCTCTCAGCTTCTCTATCGATCCTTTACACACTTTCCAATAAGTAAGCACCTTTTCCTGTGGCATGGTTTCTGTTTATTACCTTAACCTTACTTATGTATCTTCATTTCTTTAATCTACTTACTAAGTGAATTTAATAATGTAACAAGTATTCTTAATTTCAGTAACAAGTAAAGCCTTAATTTTTCTAGCCAAATGAAGAATCAGAAAAGTCTGCCCTGAAGGAAAAGAAAAGGAAACGTATTCCGGGCTGAAGGATTGGTATGAAGAAATGTGAAAGCCAAGAATTTGCAGAGGGCATTCTAGAAATGGTGAATGAAAAACTGTTAATAAACCAAGCATAAATGTATGTCTTGAAGACAGGTTGGGTTTATAATATGTAGTATTTTTAAATGTTTGAGTTATGATAAATTAAAATTGATAAAATATTAATAACTGGGAGATTTCACATTGCAATATCAATGCTTAGTTTATCTGGAAAAACGAGTTGAAGGCCATTGAGTTGAGTTTTCATCTTAGCATGGCAATCAATATATTTGGAACAGGATACAGACTATAATAAACAGCCACAAGTTTTCAATGACTTCACACAATGAAGATTTATTTTTTTCTCCCATTGTTCAACAGTGGCATTCCTGATTTGCTACCTATTTTGGAGGACTCTCTGCCAACTGATATATCAAAGGTACAGGCTCATTTTTATCTTACGATTCCAGTTTTCTTTTGGTCCTTGGCTATCTACTCAGCAGGAGAAGAAAAAAGAGAATAAAGACTTATAGAAATACAACTTTTATGGTCCAGGCCTGGATTTGGTGTTCATCAGTACCATGAGCCAGAAATCAATCAGGTGTGTCACCTCACCAATGAAGGCAAGGAATAACTATGTGCTCAGGAGAAAATAAGTGACTTGTGAGCAATTAGACAATTTCTGTCCCTTATGAGAATTTTCTGGTGAATAGACTCAACTCTATCAGAGTGCGTGCCACTTTTTATTTTAACCATGGTTTGCACCAGTTTTCTGAATTTATACTGGTTATATGTGTGGCCTCTGTAGGCATTTGAATGTGTCCCTGTCAGAATAGAAAATGGAAGAGCACATGTTTAGAAAACTGAAATATTTCCTTCAGAAAATGGAAAAAACATATTAAATTCTTCACTTAATGGAAATCTTATCTTCTTCATTTTTGAAGGGAGGACAATCCAGTTCTCTCTTTAAGTCGGTGGGGCATGTAAAGATGTACAAGGAGGAACCATCATCTGACATTTTGGTTAATCAGTCAAATATTTCATAACTTTAAACATTGTTTTTGCTCTACTTCTAAGTGAAATGAAACATTTGTGGCATTTTTATGGTGCCAATATCTTTCTCATAGTAAAAAAAACTCTGATTTATGGACTATGATTTTGGAAGAAGAGAAAGATTTAATATATAGCCTAGTTGTTTGACATTTTTCTCTTTAAGCTTGTCAATTTCTTGATGGCTCACACTGAGTTTACAACTGTTAGGATAAAATCAGCATAAAAAAATAACTTGCTTTTGCAGTCATAACTTTTAAAAGTTGTATCTTCTAAGCCTAGGAATTCCTACTGTGATTTTCCTTTATGCATTTACTAATGGAAAGTGAGTAGCTAGTCAACATTCAGATGGAATTTTGGATACTCAAATTTAATTTCACCTCGGAGCAAAGTGTCACTCAGGCCACAGAAGTAAATTCTACATAGAATAATTCAGCCTCTTAAGCTCCAGAGAATTCCTAGATTATTTATAGCATTATTCCTTCATTAATCTCCAAATCATCATTAAACTCTACTACAAATACATTTGAGTAGATGATGTCGTAGCCATGGTGATTGTCAGCAGAGAGAAGAGAGGCTTACAGTAAGATAACAGGAACACAGGTTAGGAAACGGAGCATGGGACTACACTGAGAGTGAATATTTAGTATACTATTTTCCAAAAATTAGTAGATGTGAATGATCCCTGAGAAGCCTCCAAACAGATGGAAGCAATGACAATGTCTCTGAACACGGCGCCTATGTTTATCTGGCAGATAATTACTCTGTACAGCCTGTTTTATGCCCACAACATGGTCCAAACTCACCCACGGGCATTGATCTAGTACCTTGATTTTGGGCAGAGAGAATACAAGTAGGCTAAATCTGAAATAAGTTTTCCCTGTACTGCTTTTGATCCTTTTCTATTTAAAAAAAAAAAATCTTTCCTCGATTCTTATTTCCTGCCTGTTAGTGTGAGGTCCAGACTTTGCTGAGTTTTATTTTCTTACTTGCTTCGCTGGTGTAGTGATTCTGCCCTCCTATGCCTGTGTCTCTCCTTCCTTGCCTGGTCCTGAGTGCTCTTTGTCTTGCCTGAATGCTTTTCCTTGCTAATTATATGTCTCTTGACTGTGTTAAGCAGTCTAAGGTTATACCAAACATTTAAGATGAAGATTATCTGGCGTTTAAACATGTGACTTATGGTGACTTTGCAAAGCAGATAACCTTGTTCTACCAACGTGTGTCAAAAGTTTCTGTTTTGTTTTGTTGTTGTTATGGGGGATGTATAATAACTGATTTTGGACAGTTAATCCTTCTTAGATACGTGTTCTATTAAATTCTCTCCTTATATCCACTAAAAGATTTTTATCATAGATGATATACATTACCCAAGTAAGACGGTGCACACCTGTAATTCCATAAGTCTTGGAGACTGAAGCAGGGAAATCACAAGAACAGCCCAGTCTAAGCAACTTAAGAAATCTGGAGAGACCCTGCCTTAAAATTTAAATCTCAAGGGATAGAATGTAGTTCATTGTGAAGGTTCACCTCCAGTACTGGAAAAAAAAAAAAAACCATTTTTTTAAAAAGGTACATTAACAATAGGATTTACTATTACTATTGGTCAATATATTGGAAGAGGTAACACAAAAGCATAATGAAAAGTGTAGTCCTGGTCAAATTACCTCTAGTTTCCATTTAAACTCCAAGGATTCTTTAGAGTTCAGTTCCTGCAATATAGTTGCACTTCTGCTTGGAGTTTGTACAGTCATTCTGACTAAGGCAGAAATATATTTCAGTAATAATGTTAGAACAAAGTTATAAAGTTCCAGAGGTCTGATATGCAATTGTTTAAAATTGCCAAACAATCTTAGATAAGGTTTCATAAACAAATTTATAAAGTTACTTCTCTAGAAATGAGAAAAGAATTTTATAAGATTGATCATGAATCATATGCTGGCTTTTACAATATCATAAGGTCTCTCTTCAAACCATAAATTTGGTCACATTTACAAGTTTACTGTTATCTTAAAATTTGTGACGAGTAATTTCCAATAGTATGCAGTCTCTGGATCTTTGTTATCTTTCTTAACTGATTTCTTGCTTGACTCTTTCTTTTCTGTACTATAGGTCATATTTTCCTGTTTGATTTTTTTTACAGTGCAATAACTTTTACTTTTCAAAAAAAAGTATAAAATGAAATAAAATAAAAGGAAACACCTTTCAAACCATTTTTTTGAGGTCAGTGTGTTGGTTACTTTTCTCTCATTGTTGAAACAAAATACCCAACACCCAAAATTACAGAAGGAAAAGTTTATTTAGCTTATAGTTTGTGGAAGTTTCAGTCTGCAATCAGTTGGCTCCAAGGCAAGGTAGCATGGCACAGGGGCAGCTGTCCAAGGTGACAGAATGCAGCAAAAGCAACAAGAGTAGAAAAGGAGAGAGCAAGACTCTTTCCTCTCATATACTGTCAGCAGGCTACCTGAGCCAGCATGGGTATAGGAGCCACACCATCTCCCTGTGCTCCTCTTGCACAGTCTCAGGACGTTTACCAGGTGAGGACCCTGGCTCCCTGCTGAGCCACTTGGATAACTTCTGAACTTCCCAACTTTCCAGGATGAATCAACCAATACAATATACTGCAGTGTAAACAGCCTTCCTAGGGCATGCCCTCTATACTCCAGGATGTAGAACTTCTCAGTTACTTAGGCTTCTAACGTTCTTAAGTTGATACAGTGTGTCAACCATTACAGTAAGTGTGCTGCCATAAAAAGCTGACAAAGTCATCACAGGTACATATGTATACAAGCACCCACAAACACACATACAGAGAGACAATTATAGACTAATATAATCAATAAGATATAAAACTAAAACTAAGTCAACTAACATATAAAATAATTACTTAGCATGACTAAATGAAGCCTATTCCAGGAATACAAGGTTAACACCTAAAAATCAATTATGATAATTACATCTACAAAATAAAAAACAAAAATCACATGGTGATTTCAATGAATGCAGAAAAATTCATGTGACAAGCATGCAACTCTTCTGACTAACAACATTGAAAGAATTAGGAATAAAAGGAAACTATCCTCAAAAGATAAACTTTTTTGTGAAAAATATATAATTTGATTTGATGTGGATTTCTGTTCTTATCACTTCTAACATCACACGGAGAATTTTACTCAGGAAAATTAAGCAAGTAAAAAAAATAGATATACAACTGTAAGGAAAAAAAAACAGCCTCTTATTCAAAAATGGCATTGACTTGAGTATTAAATATTAGCAACCAGACATGGTGGAGCATGCCTACAACCCAAGCAGTCTAGGAGGCAGAGCTCAGAGGAATTCAACTTCAAGCTCAACCTAGAAATTTCAGCAACTTAGTTGGATTCTGTTTTGTAAAAATGCCAGGCTTGGGATGTAGCTTAGTGTGGAGGCCCTATTTTGATCCCTAGTATCATTCAAAGCGAAACAAAGAAACAGAGATAGAAAAAGAGAAAAAGTGAGAGAGAATGAATTTAAAATTATGGATAATGATCTAAGTGCAACAAGTTTCCTAACTCAATAGCATCAAAAAGAGCAAAACACTTTGGAATAGTTTTTTAAAACAGTATTCACATAGTTTTCAAAAGAAGTGCAAAACTAACCCACTCAAAATTGTGAAACAAAATGGAAAGCAAGGGAAAGATGACAGGGGCTGGCACTTCTGATTTCTAGTTTTCAAGGCTAATTATTTTCCTCATAGGTCTCATTTTTAAGAAAATGTGGTATTTGCTAAGATCAAACAATGGGGAAACAATAACCAAAAAATTCATGCTAAGACAACTGCACAATGTAAGAATAAAAACTATGAAGATTTAGAGGAAAAAATTGCAGAAAAATTCATACATAACTACTTATGATCTTGGATTAAGGAAAGTGTTTCCCACTATAGTGTCAAAGCACTAACAATAAAAGAAAGCAATGGTAATTTGCATTTCATCAAAATTAAAAACTTTTGTACGTCAAAGAATGCTGAAAAGTGTTTGCAAACCTTGTATCTAGAGTATATAAGGAAACATTTCAATTTCAAAATTATTTTTAAAAGACAACGCAACTTTTACAATAGCTAAAGGATTGCAGTACATGTAGTTCTGCAAGGAAGAAATAAAAATGTCCAGTGAGCAAATGAAAGTGTGAGCAATCATTAGTTCTCTGGGAGATTCATTTAGAGTGGGAAAAAAATGGCTTGAGTTAGGCGTTTAACTGTTAATGTAGGTCCCAAACTCTGCTGATTCCTCATGGCTGAGCGCTGGCTCTCTAAACCCTGAGAGCTCTCTCTTTACTTGGTAAGTGCATTTGTCAGTCTTCCCATCACTGAGTCACTGCTTAAAGGAAAAGAGGACCAATTTGGCTCTTGGT